GATGAGGTCTCACCAAGTTGCCCAGGCAGATCTCGAACCCGCAGGCTCAGGCAATCCACTTACCTCGGCCTCCCAAAGTGCTGGGATTACAGGCTGAGCCATCGAGCCCAGCCAACAATCAAATTTTTAAAAGATGGGCATACAATTGAAACATATTTCATAAAAGAATATCAGTATGCACATATAAAGATGCTAAATCTCATTAGTAATCAGGAGAATGCAAATTAAAACCAAAACAAAATATCAAGACCTACAAGAATGGTTAATTATGAAGACTGACAACAGGGATACAGTGGCTCATGCCTATAATCCCAGTACTTTTGGAGGCCAGGGCAGGAGGATCGCTTGAGGCCAGGAGTTTGAGACCAACCTGGGCAAAATAGCAAGACACCATCTCTATGAAAAATGTTTTCAAAAATCAGCCTGGCGGGGTGGTGTACACCTGTAAGTCTTAACTACTCAGTATTGAGGCAGAAGGTTGGTCTGAGACTGAGTTCAAGGCTAGAGTTAAGCTGACTGGCACCACCACACTCCAATCTAGGTGACAAGGCAAGACCCTGTCTTTAAAACAAGCAAACGAAGGCTGACGTCACAAAACCATGACAAGGATGCTAAAGAACTGGAACTCTCGTCCATTACTAGTAAAGATGTAAAATAGTATAACTAATATGGAAAACTGTCTACTTGTCTCTTATAAGGTTAAACATGTATCTACCCTATGACCAGCAATTTCACTACCAAGTATTTCCAAAGATAAATCAAAACATAAACCCAGAGAAATACTTGTACAAAAATACTTACAGTAATCTTTTTTTTTTTTTTTTTTGAGTTGGAGTCTCACTCCGTCGCCCAGACTAGAATGCAGTGGCCGCTCCCAGCTACTGCAGCCTCGACCTGCTGGGCTCCAGAGATCCTTCCGCCTCAGCCTTCCAAGTAGCCAGAGGTATAGGCGCACGCTACCACACCCTGCTAATTTTTTATTTATTGTAGAGATGAGATCTCGCCAAGTTGCCTAGGCAGGTCTCGAACCCGTGGGCACAGGCAATCCACTCACCTCGGCCGCCCAAAGCGCTGGGATTACAGGCTGAGCCACCAAGCCCGGCCACTTACAGTAATCTTAATCATGAAAACCCTAAACAAAAAAGCCCAGGCATCCATCAAAAGAAAACACAGGGGGGAGGGGAAGGGCGAGGAGGGATGGGTGCAAGTTGTTTGAGAAAACACAACCTTCCATGTAAGAGATTACCCCTATTCCACACCAAAAGAAGTCTGTAGATGAATTCTATTAAAAACATTCAACAGAAGTTCTTAAATGGGGGCATCAAACACAAGTGAGGGCATGGATACCATAACCTAAAAGAGGATTATGTGACAACCAACCTGAAATATGAATGTAGAAATCCATCATCCTCTTCTCAAAGACATTAGTAACTAGCTTTTAACTTCTAGGACACTCTTCTTTGGGGAATCTGACTGGTTGAAGAGGTAGTATCTAAACTAAGCTTTTGGATTCCAGACAGGATACCCTGGTGAATCTGACTGGTTAAAAGGAGGTATCTAAACACCTTAGAAAGAAAGAAGGGTTCCCTCACAAACAGTCCACCCTGATGACCTGAAAGTGAAGTTCAGAGTCAACAAATTCATGTACATACTCAGAGCTTTCTAAATAGCTTGTATCTGGTGCCTTACCAAGCATGATCAGATAGTCATAGATTGCCAAGCATTTGAGGAAAGCTTGTCAAATATGAGTAATATAAGTAAAAATTATTTTGGAGATAAATTCAAGGAAAATAGAGAAAAAAGTAAATAAAAAGTGGAAAACATAGCAGAAACAGACATTTTGGAGGAAAAAGAAAACTTTCCCAAAAAACTACCATTCATACTCTCAAACTATTGCATCAATGACACAAGAAAAGGATGCTACAGAAATAGGAACACCCAGAAGAAAAGGGTGAAGAAGAAAGGAAAAGGAAAGGGGGAAGGCAAAGAAGGGAGGAAGAATGGGTGGTCCAGAGAGCAATGCTGTGTAGCAGAATCTCAGAACAAGCTATCTAAGCAGTACAGATGTGTGTAGGGAGATAGAAAGCTCCAAGTGGGATGTCTTCCCCCAAAAAGGATGAAACTGGCAAAATACCTGCTGTTTTATTTACTCTTTTAAAAATTTAATTGTATTTTAAAGATGTGGGATACAATTCAGGATTAGGTAGGTAAGTGGTCATTGTACAAGTGAAGTTTGGGCCCTCCCTTTGGTCCCTCCTTCCCCCGGTTTGATATCATTGATTTGTTATGCATCCCCTCTCATTCCTTCCCCTGGCAGCATCCTGCTACTGCCAAACCTACAGTGTTACAATAAATGTTCAGGGTCCACTTATAAGTGAGAATATGTAATACCTATTGTTTTAGACATGACAAATAGGAATTCAACAAACCTAAGAGCATTTCTACGGCAAACTGTTGTTAAAAATATGACAAAGGACATACTTTGTGATTTTCTTTATCAGAATAAACTAAAAAGTAGTAATAAAAATTAAGAAGCAATGGTAAGCAGGACTGTCCAAAAAAAGCAGCTGAAATGGACTATACGTTGGGAAGTTAAAAAAAAAAGAGAGCGTAAATAACCAAATAGCAACTGAAACAATGTGCAAGATGGGAGAGTGATAAGTTCATGATTCTAAGGGTCCATGACTGCTCAGAAAAAACGTTAGAATTCTGATTAACTTTAGATAGACTTCATTCATCAATTATTCATTGAAAACACAAAAGAGTGTTAATTTCTGAGCCCAAATTAAACAATCAAACAGAAGAGAGGAAAACAGAAAAAAGAAGGAAGCAAAGAAAAAGAGAAAGCATGTAAGGCAGCAGAAATAAGTTCATCTCCATAAATTTCAAGTGATATCATTTCAATAAAATTTTTAAACACGTGGCAATACTAAATATAATATAAAGACAGACACACATATGGCATAGTTATAAAAACATAAACAGGATGCAGACCGAATTCAGTAGAGTGGTTGCACTCTGTAAACATAGAAAGGAAAATGAAGAGCTTATAAGAGACACTTCAACTATATCTATAATTTCTTATCTGAATCTCTTAAGCAAATACAGCAAATGGAAATGCTAACATTTGTGAGGAAGACATAAGTGGCTGTTATATTAGTCTATATTTTCTGGCTATTTCATAATTTTAAAAAATTAACAGAACAGTGGTAGTCAGATACATGGTAATTTCATTACTATAAAAACGCAAAGTTCTTAACTACATTATGCTTATACAGATTTTTTTAAGTTAGCTCCATTTAGCATGGTTATATTAGTTTACCATGACTCTCACCTGAGTCATTAAAACATTAAAGAATATTATTGGTCTTGTAATCCAGTTGAAGTCAAGACCTGTTCAAATCCAAATGCCTAAAATATTTTTAGAATTGTCCTTAACCTATGAAAATAACATTATTCCTGAAGACACAAACTATTTATAGATGCTTCCAAGCCTATGCAGGAACTATGTTGTAAAAATTCTAGCTTCGGAATAGCTTCCCAGATAATAAATTGAAACAAGAAGACTCCACCTATCACAGCAACAAAATAGATTCCTCCCCCATGCTGTTACATGTATACAGTACCTGTTAAGTCCTTTGCTAAATCAGGATGATTCATGAGACAATGGCTAGCAAATTTCACACATTCCAGACGGATTGGTACATGGATATCATTAAATCTGATAAAGCATAAAAACACAGAAAGATTTCTAAATAAAAGAAACAGACATGCATTTAATCTGTACTGAATTTATATCTATTTTTCTAATTATTAAAAAAAAGTTTATGTAGGAACTTGTAAAGTGGAGCCAAAACATTTTAACCAAGCTTTTTTGATATACTGTATATGCAGGAATGCTCTGGAATTTCTATATAAAATAGGGCTATGTCCTGTGTTAACTATGTAATTTTAAAGAGCCTATTCAAACCACATACATTTGGCTCAAATGTAAGAATCAGAATGTCAAAAACTTTCTTATAAATATTATACATTCAAATGTGTCTATTTATGCAGGTATGTGTATACAATTGTATGTATACAATTCACAAAAACATTATATAAATCCCAAACTGCATGAAAAAATTTTTCCTCGAAGTATTCTTTCTTAAATATAGGACATTCACAAATATATGTCAGATCTCACACTAAACCCTATATTACTTTACATTACATGACTCTATAACTGCATTCAAATTATTCCTATCCGGTTAACCATCACAATTACAGCATTGCCACTAATAGGTCAATTTTATGCTGTATCTGTAGTTCAGTATATATCTCTAAAAAGTTAAAACTCTTCAGTTGCTACATCATTTAAGTCTCCTTTAATCTTGTATTTTCCTTCCAACTTTTTTTTTCTTGTAATTTGTTGGAACAATTGTTATGTACATGTAATATTACCAGAGTTTAGATTTTGCTAACTGCATCATCCCAATGTCAATTAGTAACAGGTTCCCCTCTCTCCTTAAGCTGGTAATTAGATCTAGAGACTTGATCATATTCTGGTTCAATTTTTTTAGCCAGACTAAATGGAAACACATGATGTTTAGCTGTCACTCAGTCACTGACATTCAAAGTCTGTATATATTAGTTTATTACAAATGCAAAAAGGTAATTCACTAAAAAATCTTTTAAAGTATCAAGAATATTAAAGTGAAGCCAGAATTTCCCATTCAGTATTTTCATATGTCTTAATTTTGTAGCATCAAAAGGCTCCCAAATCTTACATCACCCAACACGTAAGAAACAAAACATGGCGTTATAAGGAAAGTCTTCAAAATCAGTACCAAATTACTTTAAAAGTTTCTTATTAGAGAAAAGCATTTGCTCTATGATAAAAAGTTATGAAAATCTAGTCTATGGTCCCATGTAGTATCCTGAGTGTTTTGAATCCAGGTACTCAATCCTACATAGCTTGCTTTCAACTAAACATGTACTTCATAACCATTACAAACAAATATAATAAAACGTCTGTAAAAATACTTTAGCTCCTTAAAGTTGGTAATATTTAAAACTGTGTTTTATGTCATTAATATTAAAAGGAAAAAGTGCAATGTAATGGAAAGGTGACATGTTTAAGAAAAGACTTTTTTTCTCTCTGGAAATCTATAAAATAATATTTGGCTAATTTAAGTCCTAATAATAAATGTCTATATAGGTTAAAAGTATACCTTTGTTTCAAAATATTATATAAAATGGATTGTAAATGGAGTTGCATACTTTAATTAAATTGACAAAATATATTATCCCACTGTCTAAGAAAGTCTAAGGCAAAAGTCTAGAATTAAACTCAAAATGACAATGGGCTAATATTTATTAGCTTAAATTGCCTCATCAAATAGTACTGTTGAGCTAAATAAGAACTAAAAAAAATCAGATTAGGAATTTAGAGCTTAACAAACACTGATTTAGGCTTATACCCTCATTTAACAACTCAGAAAAATTAGGCCAAAGATTAAATTTATTATAATCACTGACAGATGTTATTAAAATGGAAAGAAATGGTGATAACAATGCAAATATTCCAACACAAAGAAAATAAAATCACAGACTTTAAATCTTATTAATGTGTTTGTTTATGACTTAACTGCATTATTTGTCATGAGCATAGTTTGAGAGGAAAAAATCCTCCTTTGTTCTCAAAGTAGGTTTCAACCAAGGCACTCGTAATGCTTTGACTATTTTCTTTTTCTTTCTTTCTTTTTTTTAAGCAGGAATTTATTAGAGAATAGAAAAGCTCCAGGTAGCAGGAAGGATATCTATGGACAGGGTTGCCTGACTATTTTCAAGGTTAGGAATCCCTTTAGAAAAGGTAATGAAATGAGTTATCGCTTATAAAAAAAAAAGTGACATACACAAACACACTCAAAATTTTGCAATGTCTCAGGAACTCTGGGCATCATTTAAAGCATACAAGTATAAGAAACCTAGGTCTTAATTTCCTTTAACTGCGAAATATAGATAGAAGGTTAGGAGGAGAAGTATACATAGCCATTTCTTTATTCATTCTGTGAATATTCTTATCATTTTAATATCTCCAAACAATCTAAATAAACATAACTTTTTGTGGGGGAGTTATACTCCCAAAGAGGTATGTTTCTGTGGGAATTAATCACTGCTTTGAAGTGATACATTTTAATTTCGCAGTCATAATACTATGTGAGATAGCTTTTTAAAAATATTATCTTTTAGAAAATTACTGAGGCTAAGATGAAAAAAGAAAATTGTGAATGTAGCTAATCTTTATCAACATTCGAGAATTTCAATATCTAAAACCTTTCATTTTTATGATTCCCAAGAACACAGCTTAAATGTGGATAGTGTTTTAAAAATAAATAGATACAAACATATATTACTTTTAAACAGAAAACCAAAATCATATACCTGCCCAAGTAGCATTGCCAAAGTGGTTTGTTTTGAGAAGCCAATTCTGAATCCTTTGCCCCAAACATTTTTGCCAGTAGTTTAACAACTTGTAGACGTTCCTCATTATCATTGCTCTAAAATAAAATACAACCCACAGCTTTAAAACCATAAAACAGATATTGAGAAAAAGATCACCCATTTTTTCCTCCATGATTTCCCATACCCTTCAATTCCACAGAATACCTTACATGAAACCCAGATGAAAAACTACATAAAAACACTCACTATACTTTTTACAACATTAAATGTCACCATAAATGCTCTAATCATCTCAAATTATATTACAGCAGTACCCTGTGCATGAAAACACAGCTCAAAATTTTGCTTCAATGTCAAAGGCCCCTTCTACAATTGAGGTTGAGGTTGATTTCCATTCAGAGTCAAAATAAAAAACGAACTGCTATAAAGCCGACTTAGGATCCTCGAGAAACTGTGGACTTCAAGAACTGACACTGATAGAGTCTAAGCCTATAGTAAACAGGGAACTCTGTGTGATTTTACTTTTTAGCTCTTTGTAAAAATAAGTACGTGTTAAAGTCTTCCAATAGGAGAGTCATCGCAGCTACATAAACCAGACTCCTAAAGGGAATTCAAGAACATGATGAAATCTTACACATTCAAAAACTAAAATTTGTTTTATATACTGTATTGGGGATGCCCTGGGAATAAGAACTCAATTTTATTACTGATTTTGTCACTACCAAAAATGACACAATAGTTAAATGAATAAGCCAGCCACAATATTAGCCCCGAACATCAAGTGTCGCAATAAGGTATTATCAAAAGAACCGATATTCAAGGTACTATGTATGACACTGACTGCACAGCCTGCTTTAAAGTTTTAAATCAATGTCACAGCCTAGCATTTAAGAGCTCCCACAATATGACCTAGTCTCTATTAATTCTCTTTATTCCTCTAATTATTTCTCAGATCTGATCATACATTAGAATAATCTCTAAAGCTTAAAAAAAATCAAAATAACAACAACAAAACTGATGCCTTAACTCTATTCCCCAAAATTCTGATTTAACTGGTCTGGTTTAATGCCTATACATCTACTTCTTTATTAAAGTTCTGTAAACTAAGATTAAAATATCCAGCCAGGGAGATTTAAACTTACTTTATGCTACTTGCAACTATAATTCTTTGTGCTCCATAAATTCACCCAGAACCTTCCTACCTCTATATGCTTCTGTATGCTGTTTCCTTTGCTTCAATTGTACGCTGTTTGTATCTCTTAAGACACTTAAAAAATCTGGCCTCTTATTAGAACTGGATTTTTTTTTCCTCTTCCTCCCATACTAGATGTTAAGTTTGCTGAAAGCAGGGATGATAATTTTCTTTATTTTTAAATTTCTCATAGTGTGTAGGATAATGTACACAGCATTTACTCAATATTTTTACTAGAGGAAATCAGACAAACCAACAAATATTAAGAGGTGTGACTGCCTCCTGCCTCATCAAAATTACTAACAACATTTAAAAGGGAGTGGGGAGGCCAGTTAATTGAATGACTCACTTGAGAAATATACCAAAAATATACTCCAGAATAAAACAAGAATAATTACTATTTTGGGTAATCAACACTACAAACGTACACTGTTTTTGTGTTGTTTTTGAAAGAAAAATCCAAATCAAAAAAATTTTTTGAGTCAGATTCTCACTCTGTTATCCAGGCTGGAGTGCAGTGGTACAATCACAGCTCACCACATCCTCTACCTTCTGCTCAAGCAACTTCCACCTCACCCTCTTGAGCTGGGACTACAGGAGTATGCCACCATGCACAGTTAGCTTATTTTTGTTTTTATTTTTTTAGAGACAAGGCCTTGCTATGTTGTCCAGGCTGGTCTCCAACTCCTGAGCTCAAGCAATCCTCCCACCTTGGCCTCCCAAAGTGCTGGAATTACAAGTGTGAGCCACTGCACCTGGCACAAACCAAAATTTTTAGAAACAAGAAATACAAGAAGGGAATCTTAAAAACTTTTCTAGGTGGTACTTTTGGGATCCATCAATGATTAATAATTATAACAGAATCACTTAATATTTCTGTAAAGATTTGAAAAAGAAATGTATGTTCCCCAATTTTGGAAATAAAGCTTAACTTTATGGCATAACTTAATGTCAAGGCAATAGGGACAAGCTACCAAAGATTTCATGTAGGCAACTATAAGATCAACATAATCTGTAAGATAATATGCATAAAACTTTCAACATAGGCAACCACAAGATAACATGCATAAAGAAAAAGCATTTCATACTATGCAAATAATGAATTCTAAACTATTTTTATAGCCCGATCAAGTGGTCAAGAGAACCGCTATAAACTGTGCCCTGAAAACATAAGCTTGATGTATAGCTATGACCGCAAAAATGAGTAAAATCCTAGAATTTATTTTAAAAATTTTGGAGGAACATACCATCTTGCTAATCATTTATTAAGCAGCTACTATCTGCTAGGCCCCTGCCAGGCATTGGAGATACAGAGATAGGCAAAGCATAAACACGTGAATAAATTATGGTAATACATCCCCTCATCTGTTACATTCAGTGAAAACTACTATAAGAATTTAAAAAGCCATAAATACTACTGTTTGTTAACTTGGTGAACAGAATCATATTATTTTTACAATAGTTACCTTTAATTTAAATTCAAGCTGGGGTAAAACAGAGAGCAGCAAATGACTATCAATATTGTAGAGCTCCAAAATTAAGTCAAAAACATGCTCTGACAAATCGCTGATAGATGTTTTCCCAAGCATCAGAACCTGATTAAAGAACTTTTGAGGAGAAAGAAAAACTTATCATTAGTAGAAACACCACAGATAAAATGAATTTTCTAAAATCTTTATTAGTCAATCAAATTCATAACTATTTTATACAAAGTCAAAACTAGGCATATCAAAATATTTTCTAACAGTAAGTGAATACCACTAAAGGCTACCTGAAAAGCTAAAACTTGGAATTCATCTTATAAACAATAAAACAGATAGGTTATTCGTACTGATTCAGCAATTAGCAATTCAAAAATCACCTTACTTTCCAAATATACTTTGTTCCCCATTATGCTAATTACTCTTTTCTATCCTAACTTACTATTTGTGCACATGTCAGTGATGGTTAATTTTAGGTGCCAACTTGACTGCATCAAGGGATATCTAGATAGCTATAAAGCATTATTTCTGGGTGTCTTACAAGGGTGTTTTCTAGAAAACACTGGCACGTGGACTGAGTGGTGAAGATCCACTTCTCAGTATGGGCAGGCACCATCCAATAGGTTGTGGGGCCAAACAGAACAGAAAGGTAAAGAAAAGGGGAATTAAATCTCTTTTCTGGAGTTGGGACATTCTTTTCCTGCCTCTGGACATCAGCACACTAGACTCTCCAGCTTTGGACGCCGGGAGGTGCACCAGCAGCCCCTCTGGGTTCTGTCTTCTAATTTAAATCCTCTCTCACGTGTGTGTGTGTGTGTGTGTGTGTGTGTGTGTGTGTGTGTGTGTGTGTGTGTGTTTCAAACTAAATAAACATTTATTCTGATTGGTGGATGCCTTGCCACACAAGTTGCTAATTACTTTAAACTTCCATGTCTAAAAATCTCAGGGGTATGATATCCATAA